CTGCAAAAGACACCAAAGAAGTGGAATGTTCTGCAATGGCCAATCACCTGACCTGAATCCGATGGAGCATTTCACTTGCTGAAGACAAAACTGAGGGAAAATGCCCCAAGAACAAGCAGGAACTGAAGACAGTTGTAGTAAAGGCCTGGCAGAGCATCACCAGGGATGACACCCAGCGTCTGGGGATGTCTATGCGTTCCACACTTCAGGCTGTCATTGACTGCAAAGGATTTGTAACCAAGTATTAAAAAGTGAAAGTTTGATTTATGATTATTATTCTGTCCCATTACTTTTGGTCCCTTAACAAGTGGGAGGCATATATGCAAACTGTTGTCATTCCTACACCGTTCACCTGATTTGGATGTAAATACCCTCAAATTAAAGCTGACAGTCTGCAGTTAAAGCACATCTTGTTTGTTTCATTTCAAATCCATTGTGGTGTATAGAGCCAAAAATGTTAGAATGTGTGTCCATGTCCCAATATTTATGGACCTGACTGTAGGTACATAAAGGGGACAGTTCACCTGGTCGTAGTCACGGAAAACCAGACAAGGACTCCCAGGAACGGTCCATGAAGGTTTGTCCTCCACCAAGACTTGGTTCAATGTGAATGGACACTGTATAGGAAGTCCTCAGCATGAAACAGATCTGCTGGTCCGAGCCACCACCTAAACTCGGGTCTAACAGGGTGTCCCCTAACTGACCCCAGAAACAGGCAGATATTGTTCCTTTTAGTCTTCTGTCCACACTCAGCCTTTTCGTCCAGCAGCAGGTTAGAGAGAGAGAGAACCCAGGGAGGATGGAGGCTTTGTCCCACTCAAAAGTTCTACAGAATGGCTGAGCTGGGGCCAAGAACAAGGCCTACTAAAGTTTCAGACAAACCCTGGAGACCAATGTCAGAAGATGACACCTTTACACACAATCCAAAAGTCCCGATTCTCTGCCCTTCCTTTTGGTTCATCCATTCTGGTTTTAAACCGAGCTGCTAGTCCTTGTACTTGCTGTGCTTCACTCTCAGGGCCCTCCCACAGTGGGATACGTAGATGACAGTCTACTGAGGGACCAACCGGCACAGATCCTCTCGTATATATGTCCATCAAACTGCTCAAACACTGCAGAAGGTTTAGGTGGATCCAGAAGTCAGTGCTGGAACCAACTTGCTTGGAGAACGTAGGCCTTATTCTGGATACTTCTCTATCCAGGCTCTTCTTCTCTCAGGAATAGCTTCAAAATCTCCACTCCCATGTTCTCACACTACAGTCTAGGAGACAACTGACCCCAGAAATAAGCAGATATTGTTCCCTTTTAGCATTCTGTCCACACTCAGCCTTTTCACCCAACAGCAGGTTAGAGAGAGACACAACCCAGGGAGGATGGAGGCTTTATCCCACTCAAAGTTCTACAAAACCGCTGAGCTTGGGCCAAGAACAGGGCGACTAATATCTGAGAAAACAGAAAGTTTCAGACAAACCCTGGAGACCCTCCACATGTCTATGTCAGATGATGACACCTTTACACACAATCCAAAAGTCCCAATTCTCTGACCTTCCTTTTGGTTCATCCATTCTGGTTTTAACCGAGCTGCTAGTCCTTGTACTTGCTGCACTTTGCTCTCAGGGTGCTCCCACAGTGGGATACGTAGAGAACAGTCTACTGAGGGACCACCCGGCACAGATCCTCTCGTATATATGTCCATCAAACTGCTCAAACACTGCAGAAGGTTTAGGTGGATCCAGAAGTCAGTGCTGGAACCAACTTGCTTGGAGAACGTAGGCCTTATTCTGGATACTTCTCTATCCAGGCTCTTCTTCTCTCAGGAATAGCTTCAAAATCTCCACTCCCATGTTCTCACACTACAGTCTAGGACACAACTGGCCCCTAATTTTTTGCATGAGGGTCCTTGGCTTAATGTTGGCCTCTTTGGAAGCACTTCCATGTGCCCGGATTCATTTCAGACCCATGTAACTCAACATTCTGGTAGCATGGGACAAGAAGGGTCCATTTCTGGACTGGCCTGGAGTAAGCAAGATTCCCCCTCCTGCTTGTCTGGAAAAGTTCTCACGATTCATGTAAACCTGTTGGGCTGGGAACAGGGGCGGACTGACAACTCATGGGGCCCCCGGGCAATAGGGGATCATGGGGCCCCTGTGTCCTTGCCCAAACTCACAAAAAAGCCTATGAAAAAGGTACCAGGGGTATCTCATGGGGCCCTCTACTGACCCTGGGCCCTTGGGCAGTGCCCAAGTTTCCAAATGGTCAGTCCGCCCCTGGCTTGGAAGGAGTCCTGGGCACTCTCCGGTGTAAGGACTTGGTTGCCAAAAATGCTTGTCTCCCAAACAGTATTCTGAGACTCAGGGAAATTGGGTTCTACCTTCATTGCTGGACCTTTCAACTGTAATTCCATCTGACCAGGATTCAACCAGACAATTCCACGGTCGTGGCTTCCACCTGGGAGGAACCAGAAGCACAAAAAGACATCAATCAGATTCTGGTTTGTGCAGAAGTTTAGTTTCAGATGTGAAAATTGTCAGGTGGACTTTCTCAGTCATTAATGCATTTCAAGACCTCCAACGTAGGTGGAGGATGCCGGACGTAAACCTTCTGGTTTCTACTTTCAACAAGAGACTGAGCAGGTTTGTCTTCAGGTTCAAGGATCTTCTAACCCTGGTAGTGGATGGTCTGGTGACTTTGTAGGATCAGTTCAGCCTGATCTATGCCTTTCCTCCTCTGAAACTCCTTCCTTGATTCCTCTGCCCTTCAGGATGAAGGGTGTTCTGGTCATTCTGATTGCCCTGAACTGGCCCAAGTGGACCTTTCCAGACTCCTAGCAGACTCTCCAAAGGCGCTCGCAGATAATCTGGATTGTCAGTCCCAAAGACCAGTTTACCACAATACTTCTCGGCTTCTGGCTTTAGATCCAGCAGGGTAGGGGCCAACCTCATAGGGGCCACACAGTTATCTCTATGACCTCGAAAGCTAGAAAAGTCCTTCGTGACACCTGGAAATCATATTCCTCATGGTGCAAGGCAAGGAATTTCAATCCCAGGTAATACTCCATGGGGGGAATCCTGTCCTTATCAAGTCTGGTCTGGGTCAACATTTGATATTAAGTACCATCCAGGGTCAAACCTTGCCAGTAGCAGTTCTTGGTCAGTGACCAACTGCCCTTTCTAGAGGGTGTAATTCCCGGTATCTGTATGTATGGTCTCTGCACAGTACTACTTCTGGGTCCACCTGCTGGGACTTGTAGTTGCACACAGTGTGCTGAATATACAGGATGATATCTTCTGTGGTGATTGGTCATTATTGGGTTGGTAGGTTCTGATGGTGACCTGTCCTGCGTTGTGTCTGGTTGGTATTGTGCATCCTCGTGGTTCCTCCGGATCGGTGTGGTGGCACTCATCCGTTCTATCCGCCGTGTTTTCTCCATATCAGAGGACAGCTTCTCTATTATCAGATGCTGGAAGGACGGGGAAGATTAATGGCGAGGAGCGGGAACGGGAGGGTGCCGTGCTGTGACCAGGCAGATGGAACAGATTATAATGTATTATTGAATTCATGGCGGCTCTGCAGAACAATGATAAATATGAAAGGAAACTTCATTCCGTGTCCTGGAGATATTCCCGAATACACCTGAACCGACCGCCAGAGACATCCTGAGGACCAAATATTACTCATCGTTGTCTGATTGTGTGATGGAGCACATTCACCCCTAAACCCCGCTACCCCAGATATTACAAACTTACCCCAAACTGTGTCAGTCCATGTTAAAGCTGCATCTGCACTGGCCCCAAACTGCACACCCCTACCCCCAACTACCATAAAAACCACAGTACCACCAGACTATCCAGGTCTGCCCCCCAGCTGAGGACACAGATCAGAGAACATACCCCAACCCCGGGGACTGCCCGGTAATACCCCTTCATCCACTGAGAGCAAAACAACTGCCGCTCACCCACAACATGAGAGGAATTCACAGAAGACGTGATTAAATATTGTATATAGAGGCTTCTTAGAGAGCAACCATTCTCAACCTGGGTCCTCCAGAGGTTCTGCAGAGTTCGGGGTCCAGCAGAGCCTGAAGAGGACACCAATGATCTTTTAGTTGTTTGTATGGGTGGCATTCTGACCACCACTGTAATGGAGAGCATAAGGAGCATTCTTCCCACTGACCCCCAATGTAAGGGACATTCTTCCCACTGACCCCCAATGTAAGGGACATTCTTCCCACTGACCCCCAATGTAAGGGACATTCTTCCCACTGACCCCCCCAATGTAAGGGACATTCTTCCCACTGACCCCCCAATGTAAGGACATTCTTCCCACTGACCACCAATGTAAGGGACATTCTTCCCACGGACCTCCAATACAAGGGACATTCTTCCCACTGACCCCCCCCCAATGTAAGGGACATTCTTCCCACTGACCCCCAATGTAAGGGACATTCTTCCCACTGACCCCCAATGTAAGGGACATTCTTCCCACTGACCCCCAATGTAAGAGACATTCTTCCCACTGACCCCCAATGTAAGGGACATTCTTCCCACTGATCACCAATGTAAGGGACATTCTTCCCACTGACCCCCCCCAACGTAAGGGGACCTCCAATTCTTCCACTGACCTCCAATGTAAGGGACATTCTTCCCACTGACCCCCAATGTAAGGGACATTCTTCCCACACCCCCAATGTAAGGGACATTCTTCCCACTGATCACCAATGTAAGGGACATTCTTCCCACTGACCACCAATGTAAGGACATTCTTCCCACTGACCCCCAATGTAAGGGACATTCTTCCCACCCCCCAATGTAAGGACATTCTTCCCACTGACCAATAAGGACATTCTTCCCACTGACCACCAATGTAAGGGACATTCTTCCCACTGACCCCCAATGTAAGGGACATTCTTCCCACTGACCCCTAATGTAAGGGACATTCTTCCCACTGACCCCCAATGTAAGGGACATTCTTCCCACTGACCCCCAATGTAAGGGACATTCTTCCCACTGACCCCCAATGTAAGGGACATTCTTCCCACTGATCACCAATGTAAGGGACATTCTTTCCCACTGACCCCCAATGTAAGGGACATTCTTCCCACTGATCACCAATGTAAGGGACATTCTTCCCACTGACCCCCAATGTAAGGGACATTCTTCCCACTGATCACCAATGTAAGGGACATTCTTCCCACTGATCTCCAATGTAAGGGACATTCTTCCCACTGACCCCCAATGTAAGGGACATTCTTCCCACTGACCCCCAATGTAAGGGACATTCTTCCCACTGACCCCCAATGTAAGGGACATTCTTCCCACTGACCCCCAATGTAAGGGACATTCTTCCCACTGACCCCCAAATGTAAGGGACATTCTTCCCACTGATCACCAATGTAAGGGACATTTTCCCACTGATCACCAATGTAAGGGACATTCTTCCCACTGACCCCCAATGTAAGGGACATTCTTCCCTCTGACCCCCAATGTAAGGACATTCTTCCCACTGATCACCAATGTAAGGGACATTCTTCCCACTGACCCCCAATGTAAAGGGACATTCTTCCCACTGACCCCCAATGTAAGGACATTCTTCCCACTGACCCCCAATGTAAGGGACATTCTTCCCACTGACCCCCAATGTGACATTCCCCATGATCACCAATGTAAGGGACATTCTTCCCACTGACCACCAATGTAAGGAACATTCTTCCCCTGACCCCCAATGTAAGGGACATTCTTCCCACTGACCCCCAATGTCCCACTGACCCCCAATGTAAGGACATTCTTCCCACTGACCCCCAATGTAAGGGACATTCTTCCCACTGACCCCCAAATGTAAGGGACATTCCCCACTGTCACCAATGTAAGGGACATTCTTCCCACTGACCCCCAATGTAAGGGACATTCTTCCCGCTGACCCCCAATGTAAGGGACATTCTTCCCACTGACCCCCAATGTAAGGGACATTCTTCCCACTGACCCCCAATGTAAGGGGCATTCTTCCCACTGACCCCAAATGTAAGGGACATTCTTCCCACTGACCCCCAATGTAAGGGGACATTCTTCCCCTGATCACCAATGTAAGGGACATTCTTCCCACTGACCTCCAATGTAAGGGACATTCTTCCCACTGACCTCCAATGTAAGGGACATTCTTCCCTGACCCCCAATGTAAGGGACATTCTTCCCACTGACCCCCAATGTAAGGGACATTCTTCCCACTGACCCCCAATGTAAGGGACATTCTTCCCACTGACCCCCAATGTAAGGGACATTCTTCCCACTGACCCCCAATGTAAGGGACATTCTTCCCACTGACCCCCAAAGAATTAATTATATCAGGGGTGTCCTGAGACCCTAAAATTATTTCCAAGGTTCCTCTGGGCTGTACAGTTTGAGAAAGGTTGTTTTAGAAGGACCTTAGCCTTGTGGAGGAGACTGGATCCTGTCCTGGGCCTTCAGGGTTCGGACTTCATGGCCAAGTACTAAGAAGCAGACTACTAAGTTCCGACCCATGTCAGACGTTTCTGAATGAAGGATAAAAGAACGTCCTTGGCCTGAGGTCCCATACGAGGTTCAGAGGAGAAGCAGGATCCCCCTCATTGTGGAAGCTCCTTCAAGTTACCATGAGTAAGGACCACCAAGGGGAAGACAGAGCTTCATCCAGGGCCTGTTCTCTCAGGGAAGCTGCAGTCCAAGCATTTCTTTCAGTCCACCCTTTTCTTCTATCGCATGTTTCTGCAGCAAACCTAGAAAAGCCATCCAAGACCTGACTGCCATTATTGAAGACCTACAAGAGCAGGTGACTCCACCTGGAGACACGCTAAGGGTTTATCAGGTGGGGGGGGGATTCTGTGAAGTCACCAGACTCAGCTAAGTGGAGGCGATGCCAGAGAGATACATAGAGAGCTAGTCCCATACTCCTGAATGAACGCGGCTCAGCCATTGGTTACTATAAAAGTGCAATTTGTTAGTAGCCATGTGCAGGGCTGCTGTTAGAAACCATGGGGCCCCCATACAGACAACTTGACAGGGCCCCCTTCGAAAAAATAAAAAAGAGTTTACTATGCTTCAGGTATGAATGAACGCAGTGAGTGATCGGTATCGGGGCTGCAAGTTGGTGGCCCTTACATACTTATAGGAGGGGTCTGGATGTGCTCAACCAGTAAGGTAGGTATAACAGATGGACGCTGCATATTCAGAGGCGAGGTCTGGGAGGGACTAACCCATAAAGCGGGTGTGATCTGACCATGTCCACCCAGAAGGTGGGCGGGTTAAATGCAAATTGTGGGTGAGTGTAACGGAACCGGACCCCGACTGCACTCGGGTATTTCCGTAGACTCCCGTTTCCCTGTCCGAACACAGATCCACAGACACCACCGCTGACCATACAGGAAATAGCATCAGACTCTTAAGACAGGAAGTCAACTGCTCTATTTTAACACCGACACAAGATATATACACAGGGCGGGCAATACAACCAGGAACAGGAAACACATCAGCAGGCCGTCCCATCAGGGGGAAGGGCTGCCGGAAACACCCCCCCCCCACCAAACCAAGACACACAGTAGAACAATGGGATAGACCACAATGAACAATCCCCCACCCCAATATTAGAACATTTCACACAATACTAGGGCAGATCACCCTGCACCCCTAAAGGCACAGGGTGCCTTACACATAATGGTGGGAACATGGGGAGCTGAGACAGGGGTCCCCCCACCCCCAAAAGTCACTCCCGTCACAGTGAGGTTAACAGAGTTGTGGGACCTTGGACCATAACGTTGGTAAGCATGTTATCGCACTGTGAAAGGTTGAAAGGGTCGGCCCACATAAAGGGTCGGCCCTACATAAAGGGTCGGCCCACATAAAGGGTCGGCCCACATAAAGGGTCGATCCCAATAAAGGGTCAGTCCACATAAAGGGTCGGCCCACATAAAGGGTCAGTCCACATAAAGGGTCAGCCACATAAAGGGTCAGTCCACATAAAGGGTCAGCCCACATAAAGGGGTCCACATAAAGGGTCAGTCCACATAAAGGGTCGGTCCACATAAAGGGTCGGTACCACATAAAGGGTCAGTCCACATAAAGGGTCAGTCCACATAAAGGGTCAGTCCACATAAAGGATCAGTCCACATAAAGGATCAGTCCACATAAAGGGTCGGCCTACATAAAGGGTCAGTCCACATAAAGGGTCAGTCCACATAAAGGGTCAGTCCACATAAAGGGTCAGTCCACATAAAGGGTCGTCCTACATAAAGGATCAGTCCACATAAAGGGTCAGTCCACATAAAGGGTCAGTCCACATAAAGGGTCAGTCCACATAAAGGGTCAATCCACATAAAGGGTCGGTCCTACATAAAGGGTCAGTCCACATAAAGGGTCAGTCCACATAAAGGGTCAGTCCACATAAAGGGTCAGTCCACATAAAGGATCAGTCCACATAAAGGGTCAGTCCACATAAAGGGTCGGTCCCACATAAAGGGTCAGTCCACATAAAGGGTCGGCCTACATAAAGGGTCGGCCTACATAATGGGTCAGTCCACATAAAGGGTCAGTCCAGGGTCAGTCCACATAAAGGGTCAGTCCACATAAAGGGTCAGTCTACATAAAGGGTCGGTCCACATAAAGGGTCGGTCCACATAAAGGGTCAGTCCACATAAAGGGTCAGTCCACATAAAGGGTCAGTCCACATAAAGGGTCAGTCCACATAAAGGGTCAGTCCACATAAAGGGTCAGCCTACATAAAGGGTCAGTGAACATAAAGGGTCGGCCTACATAAAGGGTCAGTCCACATAAAGGGTCGGTCTACAAATTCCAGTGTTGGGTTGAAGTGACCCTGTCATGTCCCGCAAAGAATTTGTACGATAGATCCCTATGTAGAAGGTGTGAACATTGACCTCTCCAATGGGCGGCGGAGAGTCTGAACTCCTCCATCTTCCAGCACTGCAGGGAGATTCAGCATTCTGCCCTCCCAGGACTGTCTGGTGACCTTCATTAATTCCATTCCTCAACCCCGACACCTCTACAGGGCTGAGCATTGACATAGGGGTCAGCAGGAGGAACATTCATGGAGGAACCACAGCATGCAGTTGGGGGTCACTCCCAGAAGCATGGAACATTGACAACCTATAGCTGGAAGATGGAGGAGTCAACGCCCTCCAGACAGTGTTGGGACAAGGTTACCGAGTACCCAGGGCAAAGATGCCAAACGGTCCCCCCCCCCCCCCCCCCCCCCAGGAAAATATATATGCATTATGTGTCAGCAAAAATCCCCTCTCCCCCCCCCAAATCATAAATTCCCTTTGCAAGCCAAAATTCTCCCCAGATAAAAATCCCCCCCCCCTCCCCACCAAAATCCCAACCCAGCACACATCTTTGGCCCCACTATCCCCCCTCCCTGCTCAAATCCTCTCCCTCTCCGTATCCCCCCTTCCTAGCAAAATTCCTGTACCCTTCAATGTTCCCCTTTGAGCATAAATTCCCCCCTTCCAAATCCCCCTTCCTAGTACACATCCCCCCCCCAAACTTCCCTTCTAGAACAACCCCCCACCCCCCCAATAATCCAAATTAGCAAAAATCCACCCTGGAATTCCCCTTCCAGACACAAATCCCCCCCCCCCCCTCAAATCCCCCATCTTAGCGCAAATATTCCCCCCCCCCCCCCCCCCCAAATTTCCGCTGCTAGCAAATATTCCATTATTCCCTACTAGCAAATATGCCCCCCCGCCCCCCAATTCCTCTTCCTAACACAAATTCCTCCTCCTAGCACAAATCCTCCCCCCCTCTGAGCACAAATCCCCCCAAATCACCCCAACATAAATCCTCTCTCCTCCCCTAGACTTTGCCTCTTAAAATACATCATACACCACTGCCGCCCCTGAATTTTAGTATCCCCCCCCCCCCAAACCCTCTTCCTAGCACTGATCCTCCTCTCTCCCCCCCCCTTCCCTCGTAGCACAAATACTCTTGTCCCCACCACAAATGTTCCTTACTCTGAGGGTGCTGTCACTTCTCCTGCCAGTTTGTCAGTAGAAACTCTCCAAGCAGCAGCCCCCCACCTCACATGGTACCACTGCGCCCAGGGCAGCCGCCCCTCCTGTCCAACCCCCCCCCCATTGTCCAGCCCGGCCTTCAGAGAGGTATGGATTCCCAGTCTTGTAAAGGACCATTGACCTCCATGTTGTCTCCCCCCGCAGTACAGAACGGTACTCCCGATAAATGACTAGAGAACCCGAGTTGTGTATAATGAGCGCTGAGCTCGGCATTTCTCAGATGAGTTCACGGCGGCGGGTCTCTAACTGGAAGTGGTATCCCATAAATAATCCACGGCCTCCCATCACCCGCACACCCCGCTGTGTGAGAACATAAAAAGCAGGGCGCTCAGCCAGCTAATGTGCGGCTACGGCCGGCGCCGTATTAATATTTAAATAACATGAACATGTTCAGCGGATGCTGATTGTTCCTTCTGCCCAGAAGCGGCTCTGGCACAGAAATGGATTTGGTGTTGACAACATTCGCATTTCCACAAATAAATCTCTTTTGTGCTCACAAGCGGAAAGCCTCAAAGACAAATTTCTGCAGTTTTTACAAAACCCAAAATGAGCGGAAAAGTGCACAATGAGGGGAATATTCTGCCTGCGTGGATATCAGGACCGGCTCCGCAAGGCCAAACACCTGGAAGAGATGTAGATGGCAGAACTGGGAGGGTATATAGTACGTATGGCATTGATCTTCTACAGATGTCCATCAGACGATGGTGGAGGAGAAAGCTGGAAGGGTGGAGGGAACGAGGAAAGTGGGACAGAGAGATGGAGGGGGAACAGGCTGGGAGGATGGAGAGCAGGGGGTTGGAAAGAAAGGGATGAAGGGAAGGAGAAATAAAAAGATGAAGGGACTGAGGGAAAAGAGATAGAAAGATAAAGGATCAGAGGGATGGAGGGACAAAGGGATGGTGGGAGAAAGGAGGAATAGAGGGATGGAAGGACAGTGGGATCGAGGGACCTATGAATGTGGGATGGAAGGACAAAGGGTTGGAAAGATGAAGAGATGGTGGGATAAAGGAAGAAGAGACGATTGGAAGGACAGCGGGATGGAGGGACCTAAGAATGTGGGATGGAAAGGCAGGGGACCTAAGAATGTGGGATGGAAGGACAAAGGGTTGGAAAGATGAAGAGATGGTGGGATAAAGGAAGAAGAGACAATTGGAAGGACAGCGGGATGGAGGGACAGAAGAATGTGGGTTGGAAGGACAGCAGGATGGAGGGACCGAAGAATGTGGGATGGAAGGACAAAGGGTTGGAAACGATGAAGA